GCCAACTCTTCCAACCGGAGTAAACCATCTCGGTTAGGAATTCGAAGTTGGACAAAACACCAACTCTTCCAAAGAAATCAATTACGACTAATGAAGCAGATAACAAATAACAATACAAAAACAAACATAACACATAGAAATTCAAATCAGACTATCAATCATGAAATGCCTTTAACAGAAAACATAGCAAATTAGAATGTTTCAATCAATTCAAAAAACAAAGTTACATAAGAGAACAGTTTTGGTTACCAAAGTCCGATTGGTTTGATTTGTTTAAAATGCATTGCACCAGATCTGGTACATATATATGTACCAATTAGTTCAGTTTTAGGAGAATTTGATCAAATGATCGTAAATCTAAAATAAATATAGTTTCTTTTTGCTAGCATGACCAATTCGAAAGTCCAAATCTTAGATTTAATATAACATAGCAAAAAAGTCGATCAAATTTTCAACAGGTATTAAAACAAACGAAAATTTTCAATAGGTATTAAAACAGAGCACATGCCAATCCAATTTCTATACATGTAGAACCATAGAAATCCGTCATCGATCATGACTATTGAACTTACAGTAAAGATATATAAATGAAAATTAAAAGCATATTAGAAAGATATGTGAATCTCGGTATAAATCAAAGTTACTCAGCGATGAATGAACACAGATATATATATATATATATATATATGAAAATATAGCAAAAGGATTGATTCGAACCAAAGCTTCGTAGGTGAGAGAGAGTTAGATTGACCAAGACAAAGTGAAAGGGAGATTTGGTATAAAAAATGATTTTTTGCGATGGACAAACAATCGGTCGCAAAAAAATAGATGCAAAAAGTCATATTTCTAGTAGTGAGAGTAAGTCTATGTACATAGAAATGAGAGACTCTATCCTTGTGAGAAGATTGTATCTCATTCTATGTTTAGTTTTTATGTTCCTAACATTACTAATTGATTTAAACAAAATTAACACAGATCTATATAAGTGAGAGAGAGAGAGAGGGGGAGGGCAAAATGACCATGCCATCTCCACCACCACTTATCGTCACTACCATTGTTTACTATCACCGCTTCTCACCATCATTCGCCATGATAAAAAAATTGAAGATAGGATGACCAATATTATTGTTACAATAATATCGCCAATATAGTATCATTAACACATATGTCCAATTTGGAAACTTGATTATTTTAGTTGACTCTTTAACTATTTGAAAATTTTAAAAAGTTGTGTATAGGATGATAGTTGGCTTTTTTTTGTATTTAATTTGATAATTATTAAAAAAAAAAGTAAAATAATTATAATTTAGATATGAGATTTTATTTTATTGACTACTTTAACTTATTATGTTTCTATTAACTATTTTAATTAAAAAAAAATGAAAAAACATATCCTAAGCGGGGCCATGACAAAACCACATGGCAGAAGGTAAAATCTTGCTATGTTCGGATTAAGTGATTTGGAGAAAAAAGAAAAGAAATTGAGAGATATGTATTTCTCTTACTTGTTTGGATAACCTAAGTGTAGAGAAATAAGAAGAAATGGAGAGAAATAGAAAGAAATTCATTTATTTTATAAGCCTCATTTTCAATCTTCCCAAAAATTGAGAGATTGGGAGAGAAAAAAAATCACTATTTACCTAATACCAATTTTGTCCCTATAAAAATAAAAGAAATAAAATGATTGAAAATATAAAAAAGTTATTTTGGTAATATAACATAAAATAATTTCTTTTCTTTTCTTTTAATGAGATCTAACCAAACAAGAATGAGAAAAATCATAATCCTTTTTTTTTCTTTTATTTCTTCTTTATTCATACAAAAAGGAGAGAAATCACAATCATTTTTTTTTTCTTTTCTCATACAATTTAAGTAATATTTTGTTTTCTTATCTCTTCTCTCCTTAATTCTCAAACACAGTGTTAAAGAGGAGAGAGATAGGGTAAGGTGTAATCTCCTGGCAAATTGGAAAATGACATGTGCTATAGGTCAGGTCAGTTTCAGCGGGTTCGAATTATCTAAACCCGTCATCCGAACCGAAATCTCAAAGTATGCAGCCTTAGAAACTGCAGCTGACCGAAATAGTCGAACAATTTTAGAATTGTTTCGTCAGTAAAGAGAGTACTATATACCGAGTTTGTCTGTTGATGATGATTCTCTGGATGAAAGTTATAAGACTATCCCAGACTTTGACGACTAAAATCTTCACGTAGGGAGATGAAGAGTTAATTAAGAATGTGTTTGGTTTATAGATTTGATAAGGGATTTGAGAAAGAATTTAGAAAAGAAAATAAAAAAGTTATGTGAAATTAAGTAAAATATATGTGTATTTTATTTAATTTTTTTTTTTAAATTCTTTCTAAATTTATGAACTAAATACAGTATAAAAAATCATAACCAAACAAATTTTCTACACTCAAATCATAATTCTAAAACACACAAACTCAAAATACAACTCATATTCTCAAATCATAGTTACAAAGCTCTACCAAACGGAGCCTTTGTTTTTTATGCTGTCATGTGTCTACTTTTTATTTGAAATAAAAAAAAATTAGATAATTGAGAGGAAGGAATTTGAACCTTAGACATTATTTCAAATGAATAAGACTCTTACCACTTAATTAACACACAATATATGATAAATGTTTTATTTTATTTTTATTTATTTGAATTACACACGCATAACGTGTGACAACCACTAGTATATATATATTGTTGGAGAAGTAATCATCATGATCAAGATTTGTGCTGATTGCATCTTTAAAATGGACGCTTTATTCCTTTACAGAGGTCTTGGAAAAAATATGTATTTGAAGCATTATAATGAAAGTGTCCGTATTGTTCATGATTATTACCTGTAAAGGGTCCATTTTAAGGTCTACAAACATATTATTTTAGTAATTTTTTTGATTTTTATAAAAAAAATAAAAAAATATTCTGATAACTTATAATAATTTATTAACTTTTTGATTAAAATATTTAGTCCCAAAATAAGCCCTAAATATGCATTAATAACTCCAACAAGTAATATATACATATATATATATATATTAATTTCTATCAAAATAAAATATGTAAGTCAACTATGGATTGATACCAAAATGAATGTCTGTTTTCACATGATTCATATTATCATGAGTAAAAGAAGCTTTTGCTGCCTAATTGTGTGTTCCATAGCTACTATCTTTTTTCCAGAAAAATGTAAGTCCTGCTGGTGCTATAAATTCTCAACCTCCACACAAATGGGAAGTAATAGCAGGACAGGTGGTGGAGAATATATGGAGACAGCTAAGACTCTTTCACATTCAAATTCACACTTTCTGTCTTAGCTTTTTGATTGGTTTTTATCTACTTCAAACCTGGCTTTCCCGCTGGCATTTTTATACTAACAAACACGTCAGTATTCATAAGCCAAAAACTCGGAGCTCCAACTCTGCTACTCAGTGGGTTGACTCCGAGTTCATCTGGGTAGAAACATGTCAAAGATCTAAAACTTTATCAACACTTTACATGTGGATAAGATGAGATAGTGTTGTTTAGTTATTCCTTTAAATGTTTTTCCCTTATGTTCATATTAGAGGGGAGACAACAATTTCAGAGATGTTTTATCTTATTAGTCGGCTATTGTGTTTGGTTTTGTTTCTCTAATTTTAAAAACAAAATTAGCATAAATTAGTTTGATGAAAATAAGTATCATAAAAGGAGAGTGACGCACTATTATCTCAGATTTGTAGGGATTTATTGTGTATTTCTTTAAATCTCAATAGTGGTTAATATAATTTACCCAAAAAAAAAACTGCCAAAACAAAAGCAATAAAAAAGAAATTTAAAAAAAAAAATCAAAAGAATTTTTTTTAAAAAATCAAACAAAATCATTAATTTGATAAGCTAAATGAACGAATCTGCTAGAACAGTCTCCAATTATTGGGTTGTCACCTGCTTCTGCGTCAAAGTATTGGATAATTATCGGTACTTTCACAGCATTATGTGATATTACTTATACAATGATCTAAATTAATAATATAATAAAAAAATTTACAGACAAAATATGATAACTCACTTTGTGTGTTAAATAGTTAAAAGACCAAGGATGACCCATTTAATCTGATTTAAGATTTCTCATTCAGTGAAACATCACTTATGATGTGTTTGATAGGGGATTTAGGAAGGGATGGAAAAAATGAAAGAGAAAATGTGTGTGAAACTAAATGAAATATAGGTATATTTTATTCACATTTCATCTACTTTTTTTATTTCTCTTTTCAAATTTTTCCTCAAATCCCCCAACCAAACACAGCATTAAAGAATAATTTTTCCAAAAAATAAGCCTATTGACAAAATGGAAAAATGTTTGAGACACAAAAAAATACAATTCTATTCACAATGATATAACGGGATATGTGCCAACTTTTGATTTGTTACACACTTGATGATGGTAGACCCAACTCTCATACCACGTCATTATAGATAAATTTATAAATATAATGTGTGAGTCTCTAGTATTACTCGAACTAATTAAAAAAAAAAACACATTACTCGAATATAACGAGTCAACTCAGACCACCAAGAGTTCCATGAGGTGTTGTTCCTTTCGTACTATACCGAGTGAGTTCAACATGTGCCTATTAAATATGAGCTCTCACTTTCATCATCTCTGAGGAGGGTACGCGTGTGACGTGAGAAAGTAGGTACTTTTTCCCGAGTCAGAACATAAGGGGGTGACTCAAATGTCAACAAATGTGTGAGTATGACAGACAGACAAACAGAAACAGTTAGCTATTATTACTACATTCATTTAACAACAATAATTCATATTACTAAAAAAAAAAAAAAATCACTAATAACATTAATATATTAGAAATGTCCAAAAAAAAACAAGACATAGACAGTAGACGCTCACCGCCACATCATTAGTGGCGCTATTAGAGTATCACTTTTAATGCTTTCAACAATTTTTGTTCATTTAAAATATATAGTCAAATCATCAATGATGAAAAGCGCACACTCATTATCTCTCTCTCTCTCTCTTTCTCACTTGGAACATGCCGTCTTCTTCGCCTACCACCCTCCGCTTTTTCATTCATATCTTCTTCTTACTTTCTTACTTTCACATTTCAGATCAGTTCAAGATCCACAGTTCTGAATGATTTGGCCCTATTTTCCCTTTCTGTGAAGCTCAGAATGATTTGATATTCTTGGGTTGTTTTGGGTTTTGATGGGTGTGGTTGAGGACAGCTTCAAAGAATGGTAACTTGGGTGCTGAAGTTTTAAGTGTCTGGACCTCACACACTGAATAATCTAGCAATCTTTCAAGCAATCCTCCCACATTAAGTGATTCTTGAATCAGGTATTATATTCGTTGTTTTAATCAGAAATTTCACTGTTAATTGTTCAACTACGAAATTTCAAGCATTTCATTGAATTTATCACTTGAATTTAACTGCTAATGGTGAAAATTTTCCATTAACAAAGAAATTTATGGTGTTCATGTACTTCAATTGACCATAAATTTGCAGACTTTTCATGCAAAGTGATTAACATGGTGGTTTACATAAGCGCACCGACAATCTGTTTCTTTTCATTTATTTCTAAAATCTATTTGTTGAATCTCTCTTGACAGATAATTATTTATGTTTCACAATTAATTAGTACTTCAACTTGTGTTATGAAAAAAGGGAAGTTCAAACTGAATTGAGGTCTCTGGTTCTCTGCTCCAAACAACAGAGCCAGCGTTTTGAATATCTACTGATGCTTATACATATTGGAATTTTGAACTTTCGACGACCCATACTGTCTGATATTGATAGATATATGATTATCACCGATACCTATACATATCCATCAATACTACTATTTCCAACTATGAGCATAACTAAACTCACCCTCAATTTACTTATTATCACTTGCAGAATTTAAATGGGCAATGCTCAGGTTCTGCCATTCTACATCACAGTATGTGTGGTCGCGTTTGTTATCTCCAAAATAATTATAGCAGTGCTTCTCTATCGCCGATGGCAAAGAAAGCACATGATTGTTCAAGACAGTTTAACTGGTACAGTTTCACGTCTAATTCAAATTTTCTGTGTTTAAGCAATAAAAGGGAAGAACATGCTAATTGTGCTTTAATGGAAAAACACAGGAGGAAAGCTAGTCATGTTTAGATCATCAACAATGAAGTCTCTAAAATACGATACATTCTTAAAGAAGATCATGAAACTGAGCAACAAGGACATTATTGGATCAGGAGGCTACGGTACAGTTTATCAAATGTCGATAAATGACTCCACAGCCTTCGCAGTGAAGAGACTTAACAGGGGAAGCGCAGAGAGGGACAAAGGTTTCGAGAGAGAGTTGGAGGCAATGGGAGATATTAAGCATCGGAATATTGTTACTCTTCATGGATATTACACTGCCCCTCACTATAATCTTCTAATCTATGAGCTAATGCCTAAAGGAAATTTAGCCACATTGCTCCATGGTAAGCTTCATATCTTAAATCCTTGGCATGTGATGTGAGTTTTAGTTTTCGTCGCCATTGACAGGCTAAAAAAAATCACTTTCCTATGAGGGTGAGTTTTAAGAGAGATAATGATGCAGGGAAGTCAATGGACAAGAAGGCTCTAGATTGGCCTACGAGATACAAAATATCATTAGGTGTGGCAAGGGGAATATCATACCTTCATCATGATTGCATCCCTCACATAATCCATAGAGATATTAAGTCGAGCAACATACTGCTAGATAAAGACATGGAGGCTCGGGTGTCTGATTTCGGATTAGCCACACTGATGGCACCGGATAAGACACATGTTTCGACACTAATTGCAGGGACTTTTGGATACTTAGCTCCTGGTATGGTCTACTGAGCTTATAAACAGCTAGCGTTGTCAACATTGTGTTTGGTGGTTTATAGATTCGTGTTATCCTTTTTTCTGCAGAGTATTTTGATACAGGAAAAGCTACAGCAAAAGGGGATGTTTATAGCTTTGGTGTTGTTTTACTTGAACTACTAACAGGAAAGAAACCAACAGATGAGGCATTTACTGAGGAGGGTACTAAGCTTGTCACATGGGTAAGCTTTAAACTTTGTCTCCATTTGAATAATTAAAAAAAAAAAAATTTATTGGCACTAAGAGGTTTTTTAATTTTTTGTATTTTGTGGTTCTTTATGTTTTAACAGGTGAAAGCTGTAGTTGAAGAGAAGAGGGAAGAGCTTGTAGTTGATAGTAGCTTAGAGTGTTGTCCAGCTGATGAAATTAAGCATGTATTCAACATTGCTATGATGTGCCTTGAGTCAGAGCCATCCAAAAGACCTACCATGACTGAGGCTGTTAAGTTGCTTGTGCAGATAAAATCAGACAAAGTTGTAACAGACTCTTGATCTTTACTAAATACAACTTCCATTTTCCAAGCCAAACATGGTTATTTCATTCATTGATACATTTGTCCTTTCAAGCGTAAGTTATTACAAATAAGGGTAATTTAATTATGTATATCGTCAATAGATGCAACATAACATGCAGCAACTCGCATAATGAAGAAAATCTCACAATGACTAACAGATTAGCGCATGGTAGAGGAGGACGTGTATGAAGGAGAAAATTGAGAAGTAACGTGTAATCACATTTACTTGAGCATTGTTGCCAAGCCATTTGAAACTGAAGTTTTCAAGGAAGGAGACACTGGATCACTTCCAAAAAACACATCAAACAGAGCCATCGTGACGTTCATTGACTCAATTGTGGCATCCACAGCAGAAGGCAAACCATCAGATGAAACAGAAACCTAGAGGAACACAACTGCGACTTAGTTAGGTTCCAAAACTCAAAATAAGAGCAAGAAAAATTCCCCTTGCTCCCTCCCTCCTCCCCCATCAAACGGATACTTACAAGCATTTTGGTTGGGTCCAGCCAAGTCAAAAACATGATAGTTCCTTTCTTGAGAGGCCGCCCTAGGAAGATGCTACGAAATGTGGAGAGAGCCGATTCATCAACAGGAGTGGGTGACTTGATTCTTGGTGAGATGGCATCATCCAAGGCATCCCAGAAGGTTTTACCATCAACAGCTCTTACCAGAACAATTTGTAGTGATTTCTCCAGTGGAGCTGCAATTCATAAAACTTTCAATTAGCATCCTCAAATTCACTCTTTATCCAGCAAGTGGACATGTAAACCTTGTCATGGTTAATTACACTGAAAAATTGCACCAAACAAATATGAATCATCTTGTATCTCTTGAGCTGACTGCCCTTTCCAAGCATCTAATGTGCTTAAAATAGATTGGTTCACATATAGTCCTGCAGCATAGACCTTAACACCGATAATTGCAAAAACTTTCTCCCTGTATCCTGAAAATATTGCATACCAATTACCAAGTCTTAAAAGCAACAAGAAGCAGTACAAGTGATATAGTTTGAAAAATATGGCAGTAAGGTTAATTTTTCTTGAACTTTTTTTTCCCCACCCTGAAATTAAAGCAACTGACCCGTTCCAAGTAATGATAATGGGCTTGAGCAACCTGGGAGTCTTAATAATGTCTGAAATTTCACATTGGTGGAAGGTTCTTCTCTGTAGTCTGGACTTCCAACTACTGCCATGATTCCGAAAGAGAAGATGTTAGATATTCTATACAAGTGCATCAAATGAAAGCATGTGATTATACATGCTTTCACTGCTTTGCTACTTTCTTTGTTTTAAGTTCAAATCTCTTGTCAGTTTGCAAAACTTGCAGAGGTTGCCATAAGTGGCCTTGTGGGATTGTAGTGAAATTTTAGTTTGCATTGGCTATAACATTTGTGCTATGTTCTATCCAAATTTAAAATAGCCAAATTGATAAAATTAACACCACCCACTACGAAGAAGATAATGTAATAAGCTGTCATATGGCTCAACTGTGTAAAAGTGATCCTTCCTTTCTAATGAACTCATCTAGAATTGTGGTTTCTATCTTCAAGTTTCCAGTTTTTTTTTTCTTCCCCTGGGTTGTTCTTGTCGTAATTGCCTAACATACTTCTGAAGTCTCTGTATTCTGAATTTCTTTATTTCTTTTACCAATTTTTTAGAATTTCACTAGCTTTCCCGAAAATTCTAATCCCAATTTTTAGCAGACCTAAAAGAAATTTTACTAAAATATGAAATTTTCTTATCTGTCTTTGCAAGGCTGTGATTTCATCTCACAATTAAGCATAAATTTGGTGAACACAAATCATCAAGGTTCGGACAATTTCATACATCACACTATGAAGGCCAAATCCAATGGTTAAGGGTCTAACACTCCCATCAGAAATATTAATATGCCAAACTGGGAAAGCTAAGCTGCAAATTCCCAACCACTCATAAGTCATAAGCCTATATACCCTAAACCTAACTGAGCTAAACTGTACATTCCTCAACAATTCGATGAATTGTGTACAAAATTTCTCAGATGAATAAAAAAATGAAAAAAAAAAAAAAACCCCTAGATGGAAGTGATTTTTTCCATCAACATTTTCACAGCCTTGAATTTGAATTTCAGCATGAACCCTTTCCAGTAAGACAATTAGATGAAAAGATATATATACACAAGCGATAATGTGGACAGTTGCAAAGAATTGAAAACAATTTTACCTGAAGAAGAAGAAGAAGAAGCTTTGGGTGAGAAGTGGGTGTGGAAACTCAAGTCCTGGGGAGAGAAGTGATGGGAAAATGTGGATAAGAGAGGGAAAGTGGGAGACTTGTGCAGTAGTGGTAGAAGGTCTTGTGGAATTCCTCTAGGAAAACAGGGCCTGGGGTTGGAATTCCAGGAAGTAGAGGTGGAAATGGAAATGGTGTATGATGATGGGAGCCAAATTAGTGTGGAAGTAGCCACAGACCAAAGCATTTTTTTTGAATTTCTAATGCTATAAGTTTTCACAAAATGAATTTCAAAACACAGTGGAATGGATGATTGAAACACTGAGCAAAATGGGTAAATAAATAGGTGGGTCCAAACCTCAGCTACTCATCAACATATTGTTAATCCATGGGATGGGTTTGATATCAGAGTTATGAGAGTAGCTAGGGTGTTGGTGGGTGGCGCTGGTTTAGATTGTGTGTGAGTGTTGATTTTGTTTACTCATTTTAAAAATAAATAAAGACTTTTTTTTCTTCAAAAATCTACTTAAATTCATGATTTAAACATCAGAAAGTCTATATATATGTACTTTATAATTACAGAAGAAAATTACATAATTTCATACTTTCTGAGTCTTAATTAAAAAAGATACAAAAAAAGTCATAACCCAAATTTTAAAATAATGTCATAATTAAAAAAGAAATTAACCATAATTGAAGAAAAAAATGAAAGACTTTTATGCACAACCCACATTCATAACCAAAACATATATACATACGTCATATACACATGACATCCGGGCTAGGGACCAAATCCCTTCAACATAATTGTACAGTCGGAAAGTCTTATTCATCTATTACAAAACAGAGACAAAAGGGTGAATCTGAAACACCCTAAAACAGCCTTGGCTTGAACTGACTTGGAACCTCGAAGTGAGGCACAATGGTTAGCTTGACAAAACAAGAGCTTAACTTGACGCTCCTAGCTCCGGTCCGGTGCCTGGACACCAACAAACATATATAAACAGTGAGCTAAAACCTAGTGAATAATAAATGCGTAAAGGGGTTAAGAATAAATGTCCTTTCACTAATTAAAACAGTCATTTGCATTAGTAAATCAGTTCTTCAATCAGTGGCTCATATTTCATGCCATATCAGTCATTTAGAATTCATAACAGTCATACGTGGTACGTCCAATAGTAAAACAGTACAGTAGGTCTTAATAGACCGAACAGTCGGTTGATGGCCATCAAAACAGTAAATAGTAGTAGTTCCAAACATTGGAACTGACAGAGATCTCTGTAACAGTAGTAGTAACAGTAACAGTAAGTTGCTATGGGTGCCACGAGTACAGTTTACAAATAGGACAAACATTCATTCCATAAACAATATCATTTCAGAAAGCAGTACAGTCAATTGTTCAGAAATAATTATAATTGAACGTATCTTTACAACATTATTACTCATAGAGTACTGGGCTACAAACAGGCTAGTCAGCATCCTCGGGTGCCAACCCTACACAGTTGCAGAACGAACAAACATTAAGTTACACACTTGGGATTAACGACTTAGCCCCTAATTGGCTTGGTGTGGTTCTACAACAATATCCTTATTAAGATGCCTTAAACATGGCCTAGGAATGCCTAGGATGGAATGGGGATACAAAAATGTACTTTAAAACACTTTTCAAATTTTGCTAAAAACAGGGGTCTCGCTTGAGCGTGGCTTTCTACGCTCGAGCGGATTGCTTGCACGTTTTTCACGCTCGATGTACGCTCGACCCACGGTCGAGCGTGAGACTCAAACCCTCGCTCGAGCACAGATTACCTCGCTCGAGCAGACTGCAAATCACATGAACTTCTGGGCATATGCGTTTCACGCTAAAGCGTGACTATCTACGCTCGAACGGAAGTGCATGTACTCAGAGTGTACGCTCGAGCGTGAAGTCCTTCGCTCTAGTGTGGATCAAAAATCTGGAATTTCCAGATTGATCTACAAGCACAAAACTCAACATTTAAAGCTTCAAACTCGATTCTTTTGGGCTAATTTTCTGGAAAACACTTAGAAACCCATAATACAACATGTTTCAAAGATCATTTTATAAAATCAAGCCCAAAGGTTTGCCAATTGAACACTAATTTTAAAGAAACTTTCATAAACTATGTAAGAACATAACATGCATGAGTTCTTATGAATTCCAATGCTCCAAAACATGGTCAAATGCAAGATTGAGCTCAAAATCATGGTGGATTCATGGACCATAACTAAAATGTGAACATGCATGTGAGGATTTCATGAAAACAACCTCAAAATTCTATGATTTGGACATACATGCGCGAAATCACTCTCAAAACAACACTTTAAATTAATTCTTGACTCAAATCACTAATTTACCATGAACCATGCATGTGACAACTCAAATTCATAATTAAGAGGGTGAATTTCTTACCTTAGGTCTTGAATTCCAAGTATGTTGGCTCAATTTTGCAAATCCTCTTCAATTCCTCTAATTTTCCAAGTTAATCTCTAGATGAAACAATTTTCTCCTACTCTCCCTCTCTATCACGGTTTGGCCTAGAAAGTGGCTGAAGAATGGTGTATCAAAATGTATGAATTAAGCCTGAAAGATGCTATTGAAAGTGGCCCACTAATGGCAATCATGTAAATAACCCTAGTTAAAGTAATTTAACATTATTTATTCTAATTCAATCATTCCAAATCAAATTTTAATTAAACCTATCATAAAATCATGTAAATCCTAATTAGCATATAACACTAACCAATTTCTGGTTCGGTCGCCGATAAGGCTTTCAATTTGCAATTCGAAGTCAAAACATGAACAGATCATTAAATGACAAACAAATAGAAATGCAATTAAAGCAACACACTCATACAAACAGGTTAGGATTTCATTCTAATCAATTACTTATCATGCTCAATCACAGTTTAACACTAATCAGATGTGAGGGTTGTCACAGTCTTCCCTCCTTAAAAGAGTTTGGTCCTCCAAACTCAGATTACCTTCATTTTGGAAGAACACTAGGTTCAGGGGGAACAATTCAAGATATCTTTTCATCATATCGTCTTCCCTTTCCCAAGTGGCATAAATGCCACCATGGTTTTGCCAATCCACTTTCACTAATGGAATTTCTTTATTTCTCAACTTCTTAATTCGTCGGTTTACGATCTGGATAGGCCGCTCTTTATAAGTGTAGTCATCACTTAGCACTACACGGGTAAGCTTAATAACATAGAAGGCATCCCGAAGATAATCCCTCAACATTGAAATATGAAAGACATTATGCATATGCTCCATTTCAGGAGGAAGCGCTACTTGGTACGCCACTGGATTAATCTTTTCAATGATTTCATACGGCCCAACATATCTCGGTGCTAGCTTGCCTTTAGCCCCAAAACGAGTCTATCCTTTCATTGGTGTTACTTTAACAAAAACATGATCACCCACTTCATATTCCCTGTCTCGCCTTCGTACATCCGCATAATTTTTCTATCGGCTTTGTGCGGTTTTCAATCTTTGTTGAATCAGTTTCATCTTTTATGTAGTTTCATGTACAATCTCGGGCCCAAGCAAAGGCCCGTCTCCAACTTCTGCCCAGTAAATAGGAGATCGGCATTTTCTGCCATATAAAGCCTCGAAAGGCGCCATACCAATGCTCGAGTGAAAACTGTTGTTGTAGGCGAATTCAGCTAAAGGTAAATGACTTTCCCAATTTCCTTGGAAATCCAGAACACACATACGCAATAAGTCTTCAAGAGTCTGGATGGTTCTTTTAGATTGGCCATCTGTTTGAGAATGGTATGCAATACTCAGTCTCAATTCGGTACCCAATGCTGTTTGCAGACTTTGCCAAAATCTCGATGTAAACTTCAAGTCCTTATCAGAAACAATGGATACAAGCACTCCATGCAATCTGAAAATCTCATCAATATAAATTGTAGCCAATTTGTCCGCATTATAAATTGTTTTGATAGGTAAGAAGTGAGCAAATTTAGTCAATCGATCAACAATAACCCAAATTGAATCCATACCTTTACTCGAGTGAGGTAATCCAATGATGAAATCCATAGTAATATGTTCCCATTTCCACTCCAGTATCGGTAAGGACTGAAGTAGGCCTGTGGGTCGTTGATGTTTAGCTTTGACTTGTTGGCAATGTAGGCATTTCGATACAAACTCGGCGATTTCTTTCTTCATCCCCAGCCACCAGAAGTTAAATTTCAAGTCTTGGTACATTTTTGTATTTCCTGGATGGATGAAAAGTTTTGAATTGTGGCCTTCTTGCAAAATTCGTCTTTTCAATTCAGAATCATTCGGTACACACAACCTTTCCTGAAATTTCAATACCTTGTTTTCAAATTTAAAGTTCGGCCTTAGTTTGGATTCCCGTTCATCAATGACCTTCTTCAAAAAGTCATCTAGGTGTTGTTTCTCTTTAATCTCTTTAATAAGTGCCGGTTGAGCAGAAATAGCAGCCAATGTCCCACCTTATTCTCGTAGAACAATCTCAACTTCGAATTTCTCAAGATCACACAACAGTTCTTTCTGTCCGGTGAGTAAACAGGCCAAATTCTCAATTGATTTCCGACTAAGCACATCAGCAACGGTGTTAGCTTTCTCTGGGTGGTACAAAATTTGCAAGTCATAGTCTTTTATCAGTTCTAACCATCTCCGCTGTTTCATGTTCAACTATTTCTGTGTAAAGAAGTATTTCAAACTCTTGTGGTTTGTGTACACCTCACATGTTGCCCCATATAGGTAGTGACGCCAAATTTTCAACGCGAATACTACTACAGCAAGTTCTAAGTCATGTGTTGGGTAATTCTTTTCGTGTGGTCTCAGTTGTCGGGAAGCATACGCAATAACTTTACCATTCTGTATTAACACGCATCCCAAATCCTTATAGGAAGCATCACTAAAAATAGTAAATCCATTCGTACTTGAGGGTAGGGTAAGAATCGGTGCAGTCACAAGTCGAGTCTTTAATTCTTGGAAAGTTGATTCTCTCTGATCGGTCCAGTCAAATGATTTCCCCTTTTTGAGTCAATTGAGTCAATGGTAGAGCAATTTTGGAGAAATCTTTCACAAACCTTCTATAGTACCCGGCTAAACCCAAGAAACTTCGAACTTCAGTAACATTAGTTAGTCTGGACCAATTCACCACTGCTTCAATCTTCTATGGGTCAACTAAGATGTCATCCTTACTAATCACATGCCCCAAAAACATCACACTTTGTTAGTTTTGCATACAGTTTCTGTTCTCTTAAGGTCTGTAAAGCAATTCTCAAATGACGTTCATGTTCTTCCTTACTCTTGGAATAAATCAAAATGTTATCTATAAAAACAACCACAAATTCATCAAGGAGTGGTTTGAAAATTCTGTTAATAAGGTCCATAAATGCAGCAGGCGCATTAGTAACTCCGAAAGGCATAACAAGAAATTCAT